GCCTGCCTCCACCGTGAGTGTCGCGCAGCTCGGGTGCGATTCTGCGCGCGCTGCCCTCACGATTGGTTTTTTTGGCTCAGGGTGCTTTTTTCAAGTCCCGTGCCTGCCGTAAATGCTACAAAAATGTCTTTAAAAAGAACTGGGGTTTTGTGTTGTTGTTTGCTTCTGGGTTTTTTATACTTATTTGTTTTAACTGTGTGTCAGAAGGATTTTTCTCTGGCTCCCCAGGCAGCGCTGTGTGTTGCTTTCCGTTTCTGGAGAATGTCCTCACCGCAGCATGAAAGGGTTTTCAGAGTCGCATCCGTGTATCCAGTTGCCAAATGCTACTAAACATTTAAAATCAAGCCCAAACCGGTGTTTCGAATGCTGCCGTTGGCAGAAGCTCTGGAAAGCCCGAATCCAGGCCCTGAGTGGACTTTTCGTTATAAAAAACCAGTGGTTGCTGTCTGTGTGGCTGGTGATGGCTGAATTGTGGGCTGGGTGCTCTTACTCGGCGTCCGTGGAACTCGCTGAGCTTGAGGTGCCCCTGCCAGAGGTCAGAGATCTCCGCAGTCCTCCCCTTGGCCCTGGGGAGAGCGTTCGGGTGAGGACTGGTGGGGTCCGGCAAGGGAGGTCACAGCACCAGCCTCAGAGGAGAAGGCAAACCGCCGGCACGGGTGAAGCGACGGCCTCGTCGCGTTTGCAGCAGGCACGCGGAGCTGGAGACTTTTGGGTTCTGGCTGGCTTTCCTCCCCTTTTGTGTTCGCCCTGGTGTCACTCCCTGCAAAGCAGGCGTGGAAGTGTCTGCTTCCCAGCCGTGCGGGGAAGCTGCGCTGTGCATGCGAATTGGAAAGCGAGTCAGGCTAGGGACGTGCGAATACTCGTGTATAAGATGATTTTATACTGTTACTGCGGAAGACAGAGGCAGCATTATCCTCGTGGGCCCCATATTCCTGCCTCCCCCCCAGGCTGCACTGCCTGGCATGGGAGGCAGACGCTGCGTAGCTCCCGGCTCCTTCCCCCCAACACTGCAGCCGCGGCCAGCTGGGGAAATGTTTAAATTAAACTTTGCTTTTGAGATGCTGAGAGCAAAGGAAAATCTTCTTTTGAATCAAACAAAGGTTTAGTGGAGCATATGTGTAGAAATAAATGTCCCCATCAAGGCAGCACTGCACACGCTCCCTGTGATATATTATTAATTCTCTGCCTAGCTGAATAACGGAGCTCTGATCTTTTCTGGATTAGACCGTGGAGGTGCACTCCTGCCCTCGCCATAGAAAAGCAGCTTTCTTGCAAGCAATAGGCAGGCGAACCAACAAAGCCTTTGGGATCTGACTGCCTCACCATCAAGGGCATGAAAGCCAGCCGTGTCCAGCTCCGTTGTAAAGGCAATTTTGGTCGTAACTGACCTACAGTACAGGAAGCTGTCTCCCACAGCTAGTCATCTTTTGTTCTCTCAAGAGGCTGCCTATACCTTCCTTGTGCTTTGATGCTTGAAGCAAAAGTTTAAAAAAAGAAGGAAAAAAAGGTGTGTCTAGCAAGCCGATCTTTATTCTTCCTGTGCAAAAGCCTGCATGCAGGGGAGCAGCCCCACCGTGCCAGAGGAAACTCCGTGGGGGCCTAAGAACCCGCGGCCAGCGAGCGGAGAATAACCTCGGATGAACTCAGAAAAGTGCGTTCTGAAATGGTTTTTCCTGCCGAGGAAGTGAGTAATTCCATCCAGGAAGGAAGCGGAGAGCTGCTCAGGGCGCGCTCCTAACTGACCATCCCCGTCCTGGGGACCAGCGCTCGCAGCCTGGGCGATGGTCTTCGCTGGACGGCTCGCGGCGGTCGGACGGGAACGGAAGAGGTCCAGCCCTTCTGGAGACAAGATACCTCCCCTCTCCTGTTTGGTTTCAAACTTGCTGCCGCTGTGACGGGCAAGCCGTTGGTGCTCACTTTCCGATCGCGCGTAGGTCAGCAGTTCCTGTTGCTCTCTTTTAGCTGGGTCTTGCCTGCAGGTTTTCTGTGTGTTGTTCCCAAGAGTGGGAAAGCTACTGGGTGTTTCACAGCTGGGGTGTAAGCTGAAGAACAGGTTACAAAGCCCGTGCTTTTCCTTCGCTTCCATCCGTTAACCGCTGTGTTTCAAAGTGCGCTGAGGGTGACACGGTCAGTGTTTAGCAGGAAGGACACGAACGTGCAAACCAAGTGCCCCGTGCCGGGGCGTAGCGCTGGGCAGCTGCGGGTCCACTCCACAGCTCCGGAGGCTGCCCGGCCGTCCCGGCAGCGCCCCGGCGGGTCTCTGCGTTGGAAAAAAAACGTCTGAAACGGTGCCCCTGTGACAGGCAGCTTGTGTGGGTTCGTCCCCTGCTTCGCAGCCCCTGGGGACGGCCAGCCCGGCTGCTCTCTGCGCAAGGAGAGCGACGTGAACGCTGAAAACTCAGCAGAAATTGCTGCCAAGCTGCTGGTGGGGTTTTGAGGTGGGGTGTGAGCGCTGGCCGGTGAGCGACTCGGGTGGGATGTGTGTGGTGCATCAGGGAGGGCCATGGCCGGCTTCAAACCACTTCTTGAGAAGTTTTGGCGTGGCAGGAGGGAGAAACCGGAACTTGAGAGCATCGCTGATGTGGTAGCGTGGAACTGGTGCTTATGGCAGAGAGGGCTCAGTTTCCAGAGGCAGAGGTTGCCCAGACCTGGCATGAGCTCGCGAGGAAGCGTGTGCTGGATTCCCAGCTGTCCTGGGGAACCCTTCTGGTTTCTGTCTCGCTAAATCCTCCGTCCCGAGGAGCTCCAGCTTTCATTCTGCAGGGCTGTGACGAGTTTTCCTGCTGGTGGCCTGGGCCTTAGTACGAGCATGTTCTTCTAGACCAGAAGAGGCTGTAGGAAGGTCTGACAGGGGAAAGGAGTCAGTGACTATTAGTGAACTGCTGAGACAGGGAAACATAGCCAGGGCATGATATTTGTCAGAGGATTTTCTATTTCGTATATAGCAATCGCGAGGCAGCCTGCGTTCACTCTCTGCTAAAGGCGATGAAGCTATGCCAGAATGTGTCGACGGGGATTTGTGGCCTTTCCCATCTGCCTTCGGAGATCATTGATCGTCTTCCAGGGGTACCAAAGTGTGGGAGGCCATTGCTGTGGACGGTTTAATTAGAGCTGCTGGGCAGCGCGTGGTGGAATCACGCTGGGGAGGACACCTTCTCTCGCTCTCCCTTGGAGGCTGGCATCTCTTCAGCGCAGTGCTCTCTGCTCCAAATGCTGGACTGTTCATCACTTTTCCTTAAAAATTGTTAAAACCTGTGGTGGGTACCGGTTCAGTCGCGTTGTTTGGACTCCCAGAGCCTGCGCTGGGGCCTGGAAGAAGGGAGCTTGTCCCATTGTAGCCACCATGCCGAGCGTGCTCATTGCCTGGCTTGGTGGCTGTCTGTAGCCAAGAAAGAGTCGCGCTCCTCTTCCTCACGCACAGGTTTGTGCTCTGAGCACTTACAGGTGGGCAAACGGCCAGTACAGAGCTGCGAGGGCAGTGCTCGGTGCCTCGGAGTGCGTGGGCGCTGCTGGGAGCAGGCAGCTTGGGAAGAGACGGAGAATTTCATAGGAACACCCTGTAAAACGGCGCTGAGCCCAGCGGTCTGAAGGCTACTGGCTCCACAGAGACCTCGTGGGTCTCAAAGAATATTTGATGTCTTAGTTCCTCTCCTGCTGCGCCGCTGGAAATCGTGGCAGCCATGCTGCAACGGCTACAAGGATGAT